ACAAACAATAGCATATCTTTAATCTTTAATCTTTAAATGTTCCAGCTATCATAGTATATAAACTATATCAGTGTCGTCAACTTACTATAAACTAGTGCATCTGCTAACAGAGCAATTTATACATATAAATAACATAATAAAAGGTCAAGTTAAAATACTGTAAAACACTTAAGTAAAATAGACAAAATATCACAGAATATTAGAACACCAATCAGTTAGTAGGAACTCATCAAAAGTGTAAAAAGCGTTATTCTTAAGGTAACTAATCACAGCATTTCTTAATTTACTCATAGGCAGTGTTTTTAAATCCGAGGGTACTTTGTTATAAAACTTTATGCAATAATAATTGTTGCAATTTTTACTAGTAGTAAGGCGTATTCGTTTTAAAGCAATATTATCACACAGTCTGGTTGAGTATTGATGGATATCACGTCCTGTCTGGTAATTCAAATGAGTTTCTTTACAGTGAATTATACAATTTAATATGTATACACAAGGGAGAGTTAAAATACCATATTCGATAAATTTACCTTTACAACAGCTTCTGTATCCCAAATTACTAATAATGCGCAATGCACGTCGTTGGATTGCAAAGACCCGCTTAATACCTGCCGAGTGACCCCATGCAATTATAGCGTAACTCATAACCGAATGGAAGTATAACCATAGTACGCATTAATGACAATATGTCTAGAGGCAATCATTTTTAAACTTCTTAAAACAAAACATGCTTTTGACAGTTTCGATGCAATTTTATTACAGTGATCATTCCAATTCAGTTTAGGGTCAATGTAAACACCCAGAAAGTTTATGTTTGCTGGGTTATTGAAATGGTTTATTTCTTTTAAACTAAAGGTACATGTTTGCGATTTTTGTGAATTTATGTGCAATTTATTATCATTTAGCCAATCTTTAATACTATTAAGTAAACTGGTAGTGTAATCACACAGATTCTTACATCTGCTTAAAAGGGTAGTGTCATCTGCATACAGAATCAATTCTTTCCAATGACTAACATTTGTAATGTCATTAAAGTATATCAAAAAGAGCACAGGGCCAAGTACCGAACCTTGCGGCACTCCCTTTTTAATTTCTTTAAAATTAGATTCGGAATCATTAAAATAAACATATTGTGTGCGATTACTTAGGTACGACTCTAATAATGCAACTGATTTGTCCACAAAATTATATTTTGACAGCTTCTGCAACAAGCAAGAGTGAGTCACACAATCAAAAGCCTTTGTTAGGTCTAAAAAATTGGCAACACACAACTCACTATTTTCAAAACAATCCAAAATGTAATCCGTAAACCTCAATATTGCACTACTTGTCGATTGTTTGTAACGAAAACCGAATTGGTTATTAGCAAATAGGTTATTTGTTTCAAAGTAATCCATTGTTTTTTAAATAATTTTTCAAAAATTTTTGAAAAAATGGGAGTAATTGACAAAGGTCGATAATTATTCAGCTCATCTCTATTTCCCTTCTTGTACAAAGGAATAACTTTTGATATCTTTTATGTGTCAGGGTAAATTGATTCCCGAATGCACGCATTTATTACTTTAGTTAGTGGAATTAAAATTACATTAAGCACAGATTTAATAATGTCTGCAGTTAAGCCATAGTGAGCTTTACTATTACTGTTATTGATGCTATTGACACTATCTCGCACATCATTGTAAGATACTTCACAAAAATTAAAGCATGTAGAATTATTTATATGATAACTATTAAAGTAGAACATCGGATTATTTTTCTCATTAGGAAGTGATGATCTTATATTTTCTGCAATTTCAACAAAATGGTTGTTGAATTGCTCAGATGTCAAATTACTACTTTCAAGAAAAACATCAGATGCACCCTGCTTAATAATTTGCCATATAGCTCTTGATTTACAATTAGATTTTTGAATAAATTTGTCATTGGCAGCTATTCTAGCCTTTTTCAATTCACGTTTATATACTTTACGGTACTTACTTACAAGCTGACGAGTATGGTCATCCTGTACTCTCCTGTTGTGCGTATTAAGCACCATCAAAACGTCGTGCATATTTTTGAGATGATGATTAAACCACACATGATTATGCCTTTTTTTACTTCTACAACTGTGAGTAAAAACTTTTGCCGGAAAGCTAAAATAAAAACAATTAATAAATAAGTTAAAAAATGCAGTGAATTTTTCATTTGCGGATGCATGGCAATTTGTAACGGACGACCAATCACAACTCTCAACCAAATTATAAAATGTAATTTTACCAATATTACTAATTGGCCTACACTTTCTAGAAATTAGTTGGTCATTAATGTATATATTTTGGAAATAAATAACTTGCGCTGAATGGTCAGATAAACATGGATCAAAAACATGTGTATTAAAATGAATACCTCGATTGAAGTTGACAAAAATGTTATCTAAACAATTATTGTTTCTTGTATTTTGATTAATTGTAGGATACAAGTTATAACTAAGCATTAATTCCACCAGGTAAGTAGCTTGATAATCGTTAGTACCAAATTTAACATTAAAATCGCCACATATAATAATCTTGTGTTTATGAAAGTCTATTTTAGAAAACAAGATAATGATTGTGTCAATAAACTTCTTATAACTACCTGAAGGTGATCTATAAATTGACAGTATAATGATATCACAGTTTGTGATTAGCACACCAGAAACTTCACAATCAATTTCATGAGATATTTTGTCTGTTATAGGGAGTGGATTGCATACCATTCCATTTTTAACTAAAATCATTACACCGCCGTGAATGTGAAATTTTCTAGAAAAATGTGAGACAAGTTTGAAGTTGTGAAGACTGAAAAAGTCAGCAACGTCATTTGTTAACCAATGTTCAGTAAGACAGAGTATGTTGATATTATTATTAATTTGTAAGACAGCTTCCAATTCCAGACGCTTTTTCGATACTGACTGGATATTCAAATGAAGAATTCCAAACATTGAGAAGGAGGTAGGCGACTCCCTTACAGGACCACGCTCGATGCTAATGGCGGTGTTTTGTGGCGTTCTCGAAGTCGATCCAGGTGCTGAAAAAATCTCCCGATGGTAACTCCCGTTGGCCGTTGGCATAACGGTATCACACATATGATTCTGCATTGCGGTTAAACCAAGTAAATTACAAAAACAGAGATTCAAACACACAACAAATATAAAATGCGGCATACAAAACACAAATACGATATAAAGAAATGCAAAAATTACTACCTGCATTAAATAACACAAAATACAACAAACATTTATGGAGCGACGCGTTCACGACCGCCATTCAAGACAAGATAATGAACGTATAACCCTCGTTCGTGCTTTCTAGATGGCGCAGGCAGAGATATGCTCAACTGGAGAACGAATTTAAAACTTGAATGCGTAATTACCTACCATTGAATTTATAACTATAAATTCAATGTAATTACTTCCGAAAAAGGTATTTCACTATCCTGGTGATGTAGATATAATTGCCTAACATACGCATTGTAACGTTTTTCGACATTCTTAAGCCATCTCTCCTCTGTAAATCTGTTTAGTTTGGTTGTAAGGTAGTTCTGTGGTAGATTTCTTATTACAATAATTCTTTATTTTCTCGCTAGAGGTTGTGGAGAAGTTTCCGTGGTTACAGTGACTCTATAGACACCGAGATAGAGACAGTGTGGTCATACGGTGGTATTATTTTCTATTGGTAGTTGGGAGATCCGCCATGTTTTGGCCAAATCCGCTGGATTGCTAGAAGGTAACCTAGTGATGAATTTATCTTGCCGACATGGAGCATTATCCATTGTCTTTATACAGTCACTGTATCCGTAGTTACAGTGACTATACAAGACAGTGGCAACAATTGAAACATATAAACCTTGATGTGTGTATAATTAATGATAGAAGAGTAGGTATCATGGTAATGAATTAAAAAAATTACTACTGGAATACTTTAATAATTGAAGTTATTCAACAGAGCTAAACATTGTAGTGACCCCATACTACGGTTGTTCAGAATTTTAGATATACTATGCTACTACCGATCGAACGATTTAGCGTGGAAAAGTCGACCGAACTTGATCGTTTAGAGCGGCGTTTTTCAACCCCTACTTGAGAAGTCGCGGGTAAAACAAAAATACAGTTGTTTATTGGTCCAATACTACAATGAAAAACCGTACATCGTTATATTCGTAGTAAAAAAATGCTACTGAATACAGTATGTACTTTTTTTTACGGGCCATAGAAAGAGCATAAAGTTAACGATGATTTCTCTGAAACGAAACGTGTTGAAAATCTCTTAATGGTGTCTTGTAGCGCTCAAAAAGTGCAATTGCGGACAGATGACATTTTCAACTCGAATTCACCTAAGGAACCCGTGGTAAAAATTTGTCATGTTCCTCGCGGGTCAAATGCAGTTTTGAAACTGAAATAATTCTGACTACTTTCTGAGATATCCGAAAAACACCGAAATTTTGCAAAATCGTTTTTATTTTTTACAGAAGTTATTTAAAAATATATTTCGAAATAAATGACACATTATTATGGCCACTTTTTTCCCTCCGATCGCGTATGTTCGTTGCGTGAGAAATCCCAACCTACCGTTTCTACAGGCGGTACAATTCCATCCAGTAATTCACGCAACCAACTTTTTGGGGGAATTCACTTTATGTGATGTTTTTGTCCATAGGTCAGTTCCTCGTCTAACTCGAGAACGAAAAGAGATAGAGATGTCAAACCGTGCTGCCCAATTTTGTGAAAATACTAACTTAGTTGTTTTGATAGAAGACCTACATAGTTTTCTGTTATTAAAATTCCACACAAAAAATTAGGGCGATGTTTTAGTAGGTACACATAGTAAAATAACTAAAGTTTCTATAAGTAAACGCATGAATTGTTATTCAAATCAATGCTGCTCAAAACAGCTGTAGAGCATCTGCATCCGTTTCTACTACTTACCACAAGACGGTTGGTGGGAACAGAAAATACAAATGCAAACTATATTCATCCAAATTCATCCACCCTTAAAGAGTTTATTTATAAAAGATATAAACAAAAAAAAATAATATCAAAATACACTGAAATAAATGCTTTTATCGACATACGTAATACAAAATTAATCTTTGAAATGGGTAATTAAATCATCATGCAATCTGGAGATCTCGGGATTCAAAACGCAATCATCAATCACTCCAGCAAACTGTCCATAGATCACTAGAGCCTGTCTTTCCTCTTCTGATTTAATTGATGATTTATAGGCAAGCTGGACGTAAGTGTCTGCAATGCAATATAATTCCGGTTTGCTTTTATCTCTGTGCTCACGGTTTAGAAACGTAGATTCCACTGCCGAGTAAATGGTGATTAACGCAATAATTTTATCCAAGTCCGACTGTGTAACAGTTGAAAAGGGTTCGTTTGGAATTAACGAAGCGATCGCATTGCACATTAAAATTCTCGGAAATCGCACTCTACTGAAGGATAGGAAATAATCCTGCGTAACTGGTCTCGGCATTCGGTCTTCTCTATATTTCTTGAGATTTTCCAAAACGGCTAAGGGAAAACATCCTGCAACTCTAGCTAGCGTCACTGCTGCTGGGCTATTAATTTTGGAGACCAGGTTATATTTACTGATCAGTCCTTGCAGTTCTCTTTTACGTGATGGATTGAGTTTTTGTAGAATCCTTGTCAAGTTTGTACCTTTAGACAAGAAAAAATACGAGCACGCACACATGTCTTCATACGTGAAGCCAGGTATGGCCATGAGCGAGTCTTTCACTTTCACTGGATCAAACCCAACAAATTTAACACTTTCCATAAACTCCTTAAACTCCGGGCTCTTCATATACTCCATACATTTCTCGAAATCTAACAGCAAATCGAGGTTTGGTTTTGCTATTCTAAAACATCATGAATCACTAATTGTACCAGTGAGCCGTTTTATGTTGAAGAGGGGCGGTTCTAGTTTCTCTGCATGGATATCACTGCGCACTCTCGTCAACTTAAAAAAGCCCACTTATAATTTGTACGGCATTCTAGTTAGTTAGCACGTCAGAAATGTAAAACGGTGCATGAAACTTGAAAGCTACTTACGTTAGTGCGTCGCGAACGTCTTGTGGAACCTTCCCTACAAACGAACTGTGATCTATGCCTTTTCCAGTTGCCAATATGCCACAAACATTCGTATGTTCCATGTTTGTGCAATATTCATAGGTATCACCATGAATATCTGTTAACTTGCCACCCATCGCAGTTATCACCGCATCAGGCGCGCAGATACTCCGTTTGTTACATTCCTTGCTTGGAAAGACATAGACGTGTGCTTTTCCCTCTAACAGCAACATAACGTTATGTCCTACTCCCGTACTTCGTAAAACTTCATCTGGCTGAAAGGCGTCAAGAACTGTTGTCAACAGATCATTATGTTGCACTTCGGTAATGGTCAAAGTAACAGTACCAGACGGTAGTTCCTTAGTATGAAATCCTCCAGTTCCAAGATGGACTAGTCCCCATAAAGTGCGACCCGTCAAAGTGGGATTTTCAACATCAACATAATTATAACAAGGCTGATGAATTACCCCTCCAATGGCTTTGCCGTTCATCGAAATGCCAACAAATACTGTAGCATGGTCCGTATATTCAGCATCAATCCAAAGCACTAAGTCTTCACTAGTGACATCGACGTACTCTGCTGGACACTGTTGTGACAGAATGTGATCGTCACACTCTGTAACAATCAATTCAGTTGGTGTCTCATCGTTACTTCCTTCTTCCTCCCACACAATGTTGAGGTTGGGATACTGCTGACATAAGGAGGCTCTAAGACAACGCTGCATCGACCGTTTTTCCTCAGTTAGTTCATTATTTTGATCACCTCCTCTACTAACAATCTCACGAACAATATTACCAGCACCTCTAGCAGCTGTCACTGAGGAAGCAAGGAGTCGAAGAACCAATGGAACACTATTTGCCATTTTTTATTATCTGCAAAGAAGAACAATGTTAGCCAACGAGTTTTCAATAGTACTTAGGGTACTTTGGGACAAATTTGCTCGTCAGGCTTTCTCTTTCTATAGGCCATATTGCTTACGCGTAAGTCCTTTCGCAGCGGTTGGATCTCCCACACAGGGAGAAAGGTTACCAGCGGGAGCCACGTGAAGGTAGGTGCTCGAAACTATGACTCGTGTTTGTGTGCACAACTACGATAGAAGGACTTTCACTCTGGTTCAATTACCTGACGTTACCACTCGAAATGGTCAAAGAGTCATAGTTACTCGCTTAATATTTTTAAATTAACACGATTCTCACATTTGAAACATATCTAGCTAACCAATTATTAATACTAACCAATTATTTATTGCATTTTCGAAATCTATATTAAAATCTACGTCGTTTGATACTACATTTCTCTATACCCAGCATCAAAGGTTTTCAAGTTATTTTTGATGTTTGACTGCTTTCGTTAGGGCCCTGTACGGATACTAGTGTATAAAGTCAATGCGGATACCTATGATTCTGTTAACTTGAATTTCAAAAAGTCTTCCAAAATCCACAATACTGACGTGATGCTACATGAGAATGATTTGAACATAACATTAAAAATTTTGAAAAATCTTGAATAACTTGAAAACCTTTGATGCTGGGTATAGGGAAATGTGGTATCAAACGACGTATATTTCCAATAGATTTCGAAAATAAAATACAGGGTGTTCTATTTAAAATAAGAAAGTTGCTATCCACATCCGGTAAAACCGGAAGTGAGACAGTCATGATACTATTTTCCTTCGATAGATCATGAAAAACTATGTCGGTATGCAATTTTCAGAATTAAATTATCAATGGAAGACTGAATACTTTTAGGTAACGGCTTGCGTAAAGCAGCCTGTATAATATGCACGTAGCAGTATGAAATATACTTTGCGCCCTATTCTTCTCATATCTACCAAATATACAAAAAAAATTCAGGGGCAAATTCTTTGGCTTATTTTATGATTAAAAGTTATTATAAATATATTCGCAAACGTTTCGTTACTGATCTACAGAGGGTTGAAATTTCACCGTACACTTTAAAATGTACATATATGCAAACACACACGATACAATTTCAAATGCGAACTGTCAAAACTAATAAAAACAAGAGCCATGACGGGACTGGACCATTTTAAAAATTTTACTTTCGTTTAGCCAACAACTGAAAATTGATTTTTATAGGATACCGGTCGCAAATACGAAAAAATTATAAGAGACCAAAAAGTTTCTAAACAAAGAAAATTAAATTCTTATTTCACAATCTACCAGCGGCGCACCGAAAAAGTTCAGGAGTAGAAAATGGAACATCACCCCTGAATAAACAAGGGTTGCCAGATACCCTATATTTAATATGAGACAAAAACTCATATTTTTACACAATTCTGTGACCAATGATGTACGTTCAGTGTAACATATTTCAGTTTTGAGAAAAATATCTCAAAAACTGCAGGAGTATGCAGAACAATTGAAATTTTAACACCCAGTACCGAAGCGTTATAGTACCCTGTATATTAGGTGTTCCAAAAAGGAAAAATGTTTTCAATTTTTTTAAATCATGCTTTGGAGTGGAATCCCAAGTCCAAAATCTGAGTAGGTAAGTAACGCGAAAACAATATCAACACTGTTATGTATGTGTATATATTGGTACAATGGTACCTATACCAAAGAATAATTAATTATTCTTTGCCTATACTTCCATTTTCACTTCCCGTATCTTAATTCGCGCATTTTCGCCTTATGATGCGGGCCAAATATTACATATTGTGATATTGATTGCACATACATGATTTACCGGTGTTTATAGGAATGAGAAAAGCAACAAGCAATAACAATTGACTATGAGTCACTTACAATACACAAAACAATTGACCTTTGATTATCTAATATTTAGTATAAGTACTTACACGAATATCGGAAAAGCACCAAATGAAAATGAAACTCTACTTTCGAAATTCGTAATGACTGTGGTAATAGCAATAGGGCTTTGAATTGAATGAATGAGCAGAATTTTCTGTTTATATCACATGTTTATATTTGGATAACACGATGAAAGACTATTCAGTTGCACTTGCGCGTAGGGGGTACCTAACGATAGTATCATTATCTTATCAGACAGACTACTTTCCCTCGCCGCCCTCTGTACCAAAAGATATTGTGGAACAGATTGATCATTGATCGGTTTTGTCACCATTGCAAAAACTATCGAGATATTTCTTAACGCGACGTTATCTAACTGAAACACACAAAAAAGGTATAATAAGGTAGGTAGGTACCCCTTTATTTCTGCATGATTGAGCTTCATTATTGGAATTATTATTACTGCAGGTAGTTCTAATCGTATCGTTACGTTACATAAACAGAGCATAATAAACCGATACCGAATATCCACAACCTTCTGCAATAATTACCGTAATAAGAAAGTGTGAGTGTCAGTGTTGTATAGGTAGAGTTCGTGAATAGTGAAAGTCATCATTTACTTGACCCACTTCACTTTATTACTGCATCTACCGGTATAACGGCGGCGCTTAGACGTCTGCATAAGTATTACCATTTAATTTACTCGTAGAGCGTGAATTTTTTCATTACAATTAATTAAAAGTGGACACATATCCGCATATTTATCAGTTTCCTTCCTTATATCCAAATCTAAAATTTCCCAGAAATTTCGCAATAGGTACTCGTAAGGTTATGGAGACTACTGTTCTTCCTTCTCAGGATCGAATTGCGCGGCGGTGGGGGGCTAGAAGGAAGACTACCCCGGAAGAAAATTGTGCTTTTTGTGGCCAATATTACATTAATACAATGACAGTCTAACTTATGAATTTTGTATTTTTAGGTACCTACATAGGTACATTTACATACCGATCATAGATAAATTAACATGGGAAAAAGGTTTTTTGCAGATCGTTGCTCCTCATGTTAACTTAGAGGGTTTATAACACCAATAGAAAGAAATGTTTTTTCTCATCTAATTATATATGAATTAGTTCATTTTCATGTGTATTTCTCATTTCTTATTATATTATCAAAAATTCGGCAATAAATCCACTTACCGAAATCATGTTAAGGCATGACTAGTACGACAAAAAGCAGATACAAACGTTATTCAAGTCGAAATCAATATTTAGTCCAGGCTATACAATATTTTTTGACAAAAAAAATTAGTTACCGGGCGAAACCGGGTTTTTCAGGCAGGTGAAATGAATAGAAATTGGGAAAAAATAATTAAAACAGCTGAATTTTTCCGCGGGTGAAATCACGGGGGTTGAAAGGGGTGGAAAGTGGTGTTTTGCAAATTGTGATAAAACTATTAATTTTAAACGAAAATGTTATATGCAAAAGTTATAGAGATTGAAAAAATGAGCAACTTTTGTATCTGCACTATTTTCACATAACCTCCAATTTTCCTAGAAAAACCGGAAAAACTGTTTTTTTAAATTTTTTATTCTACGATCAAATGAACTTACCTGAAGTTCGATCGGAATTATATGAGGCATCCCGTCCAAAGATGTTATTTATTTAACAACGTAGGATGTTTAAAGATAACTACTTCAGTTTGAATTACGTACATTTCCCGAAGTAAAATCATCTTTAATGAGGAAGACAAAACTAAGACTAATAGTAACTATATTGCTTTTACATATTGAAAATACTATGAGCGAACTCGCTTCTATCTATAAGAGGGCGGTTGTAGAATTCAGCGAAAACGTTGGAGCTCCTGCTCCAACCCGCCGAGTCCTTAATGACATCTATAGAAACCCCTGCTCTTTTTGCAGCTGATGTTGACGCGTGCCTACTTGAGTGGGGTTTGAAGATGCTTGTACCAACGCCCGCTAACTGCAGCGTGCACTTCACCCATCTACTCAGGGTTTGTTTTGAAGCGGTTCTATATGGCCTTTGGTAGGTTAAAAACAGATTTTCTTGGCCTTCTCTTAATTTCTCAGTCTCCTGTAAGTACCTCTGTAGGCAGGAGAAAACGCAGAGATGGGGAAGATCGTTGAATCTGGGAAGAATTAAACAAGGTTGACGTCCGCTTACCCTGGAGGTTTTGATCCTGTCTGGAACTACAATTTGAATTAAATCCTCAGAAGTTAAGATGTTTGATATTTTGATAAGGGAGAGGGTTTGCAACCTTTGTCCCGTTGCTAATGTGAGGAGGGTTATTAACTTCATGGACAAAGCTTTTGGAGATTCCGCTGGATGTGTTTCAAAGTAAATAAAAATTTGCCTAGGTTCCCAAACGCAGTTATATCTAGGTTTTGGTGGCCTTAACCTTGCCACCCCCTTCATAAATCTCTTGAGCATTGGATCCTCACCTAGATTTCCTGGTAGAATTAATGACAGCGCTGCCCTGTACGAGTTGATTGTTCCGAAAGCACATTTTGTTGTGGTAATGATGTAGAAAAGAAATCACTTCTTGGGCTGATGCCTGAAAAACGTCGTCTCCTGAAGCTTCGCGGAAATTCCACCAATTTCTGAATGTACTTCCATATTGTGCGATAGTAGCTTCCGAAAGAGAGTTTAGACAAGTATCGACGGCGTTTACCGGCACACCCTGTAGTGTTAGTGCTTTCCGGATAACCGACATGCTACCAGGGTAAGTTTGGATGCAAGCGGGTGGGCTTCCTGGCTGTAAGGGGATAAAAGCATATTAACGTCCGGTCCGAAATAAAGAGGTTTGCCTATTGCCAGTTTCACAAAGAGCGGGAACCAAGGTTGTGAAGGCCAGTATGGTACTACCACGATACCCCTAGCGTTGTCTGTGTTAATTTTTTGTAATACTCTTAGGATGATTGAAAAAGGAGGAAAAGCGTAGAAATTTAAGTTACTCCAGGATAGAGTAAAGGCGTCGCACGCTACTGCCTCTGGATCCGATTGCCAAGAGGCATACCTTATGCATTTGCGATTAGCTATCGAGGCGAACAAATCAATATCCGGTATTCCCAGTTTGCTTTTAATTTTCTCAAAGACCGACTCCGCTAAGGACCATTCTGTTTCTGGGCGAAGAGCGCGAGATTCGGCATCCGCCTCCCAATTATCCTTGGTGTTAATATAGGAAGCGAATATCCAGATATCTCGCTCCTCGCACCATTGCCAGATCTCCCTCGCTAGTTTGTTCAAGTGTTCGTGCTGCACACTGCCCATGCGATTCACACATGTGATTGCGGTGGTATTGTCGCATCTGACAATTACAGCACGATTCCTTAAACCTCTAGCGAAACATTTTAGCCCTAGGAGGATGGCCTGGAGTTCCAGAAAATTAATATGGTGTAATTGTTCATTTGCCGACCACCATCCCCGCGCCCTTTTGTTCCTACAACATGCCCCCCAACCTGTGGACGATGCGTCCGAGAAAATCTCGAAATCAAAGGATTCTCGAGTGAGGTCATTATTGACCCCGTAGATATTTTTCTCCCACCAATCAAAATCTGAGGACTCCGGAACGGGCATGGATGCACTAAAGTCCATGTTATTCTCTCTCAAAGCCTTTAGCTTATATGCTTCGAAGAACTTTGTGTATACCCAGCCGTACTTCACAGCTGGGCATACTGAAACTAAGAGTCCGATAAAACTTGCAAAATCACGAATTTTACAAAGTTAAACGCGATTAGCGCAGAGCGTACTTACTCACGTAAGGTAGTAGCTAAAACGCTACCATACAGTAAAAGCACAAAAAACGAATGACGACTTACCTACCTCTCCTAGCGCGGCGGATCCAACGGAGCATGCGCTCGTTTGGTCTTTAAAAAATTGTGGAATTGAGCACCTAAAGGCGGACTACGTTGTTAAATAAATAACATCTTTGGACGGGATGCCGAAATATAATTCTTATTTTTGCGAAAAAATGTCGTAGGGGTTTGAAATTTGGAGGAAACATAGCTTGGTTTATGATAAAAAAGAAGATAATTTTTTGGGCGTGTAAAGTTGAACCGTTTCCAAGATCTCACGATTTCTGAAAAAACCACCTCTTTTTCGAGGGGATGAAAAATCTATTTTTTTTCATCGTACAGAGGTGCGCGGGGTAGCAAAATTTTCGAGAAGACTTATATTTTAATAAACAAGAATAAAAAAATATTATTCCTATAGCAAAAATTCGAGAAAATCGCCAAAAACTGGAAAAACAGTTTTAAGATATACACGGTTTTTGACATGATAAATCAACATGTTGGATGTTAATAAAGATTTTTTCGAAATCTGTCTTCTTGCTTCTTTAATGTTTGCTTAAATATTCTCTTTTGTTATCTTATGCTCAACTGTTTTAGTTAAAACATCTTTATTATTTATTTTTTCTGCATTTTTACCGCAATAAAAGCAATTCGAAATAAAATCGGATTATCTTGCTTCCTGTTTCCGGAACAATTTCTTTTTGTTCACTGACTCTTCTTCCTGCCTGTTTTGAAGCAAAGGGCATGCGTATCTTTTGCTTTCGGTTGCATTTCTCGAAACATAATTTTCTTGAAGCATCCTGATAGAATGAAAAAGGTTTTAGAAATAAACAATTATTTCCAATGTACCTATAATAGGATATCAATTTGGTGCACTTTTCGTCTTGGGAATATGTGACATGATTTATAAATAATAAATAGTAATTTATCTAAGGCAAGCTGGGTGAAATTTGAAATTTTATTAGGCGAAACGTTACTCCAGAATAGGTCTCAATGTGGACTATGGGGCGAAACTAGCTATAAAGAGAATATCTATAGGCAAGAGAATACATGTTTGAGAATAGACCCCAGAAAAGTTGTACTTACATAAGGTTATATTCAATAAAATATTTTCAGTTTTATGCCACTTTTTCTTTAATGTTTTAAAATCTATCTAAATTGCTAACTAATTGAACGGTTTTTGAATTATTTGATGTTTTTAAAAAACAGAAAAACGCTTACGGTTATTGTTTATTGGTTTCGAAGAGTAGACAACTGCACAAACTTTTATGTTTGAATGAACATCTGAAAGTGTGTTTACAAACAATATATAATCGATACTCATTAATCATTATCACTTTAATGCTTTTAGTTAGTGAGATAATTGTAATCTGTGCAAAACAAAATAGATACTCTTAATTGCACCATTAATTTCATATTAAGATGTTTGAAAGTGCTTAGATCTGTCATGCCCGTGTGACACAATGTGCTCCCCCTTCTTCAAATTTGTAAAAATTAAAGAGAACATCGATTTGTAAAATGTCTTTAAATCAGTCATTGACATTTTTAATATGTACAAGTTGGTGACGAAAATAACTTACTAAATGAGTGTTCAGTGGGTACTTACCTTCTCCCAATTTAACTGTAATTTGTAATTATTTATAATTAATAACCACTTTCACCTCATAGGTACCTATGTAGGTACATACGAGAGGTCGTTCATTGCATAATTTTAAATTTACCTTCTGCGTATTATAATAAATTGGGTTAGATACCCACTTATCTATCATATCATATAATATCATTGACTAATGCCCTAGTAGTCAATGGTAATATCAAAAGCACACCAATCTCTAACTTCCCTTGGCGCTGGCCTATGGTAGTGGTCAACCCACTTGTCTAGGATTGTCCAACACCTACCTACTTCCAAAAAAAATTCGTTATCCAGCAAGATATTGTTGCAAAAAATAGAAAAAAGGATTAGCTTGAGACCGACAAGGAAACGGTTAAATAATTTTTTGCCTATAAGATGTGAGACGCATAAATACAGGATGCCATTTAAATTTTAAAAAACAAAATCGTGCTCACTTCCACTTTAAAAGAAACGGCCAGTACATTATGGCCCTTTCTCGTTTTTTTTATCACATTATATACAAAATGATGTATCGTAGCACTTCAATACAAACATGCGATTTGATTAAGAGGTGACGAAAATGTCATCTCCGACAGTTGATGTTAATTATCTACTATATGTTTACAGACTGAGGAAGAAATCGGAGATGTATTCCAAGACGAACAAAACGAGGCAGCGTTTCTTATTAGAAGAGATAACCAAACTGGTGCGTTAGTGGTGGTAAGTGTTCCAATTTATTTGCGATTTTTTATTAAACAAAATAACTATATTACTTGTGGCTGTTTATGCAGGGATAATTGTAGGATAATCAAGAATCGTTCTGCCTTAGCGCATTATACAAAAAGTCAAGTATAAAGTTGTTGTATCCCCTGAAAAACTAAGCATAAAGCATAAATCTTATTTAAGTAACCCAAGAAAAATGAAATGGAAATTACCCCTCCAAGAAAGGCGTTGAAAATCGCATTTTGATATATCTGTTTCCTAAGCAAAGATATGGCGAAAATACGCGCATTCACAAATTGAACATGCACATATTATATTCATCCAAATTGGCTTTGAAACAAAAGAAACACAATGCTACGTAAAAGACCTACCCACTCTCCTTGAAACTTGGAAACCAGGCGAACAATGTATTTTCAGTGCGATGGATGCACGGCACATTTCTCGGTAAATCTGCAATACTATTTGAATTTGCGGTATTCTGGCAAATTGATAGGAAGAGGAAGTTTTTTCCATTGCCAGTTAAGTCACCCGACCTAACTTGCTTCGGTTTTATTTGTCAGGGATGATGAAAGACCTAGGTAGTCTTTCAAACCAGGTCAACTGCAGGATGTGGCGGCGAGAATTACACATGGAATTCATAACATATGTATGACTGAAATTGAAGCTTGCTGTTCTCTATACTGTATTGAAAATGATAACAGATATGAATTGAACATTTACGTTAGATTTAATTATTGTTTCTCACTTACTTTGATGTAGTTACCGCGTGTCACGTGTTTTTTTGTTTCAAAGTCAACTTGGATGAATATTGCAATTTAAATTTGTGAATGTGCGAATTTTCGCCATATTTTTGCTTAGAAAACAGATATCAAAATGGGGTTTTCACTGATATTTTAATTTTTTTATCATAGGTATTTGATAATAGCATATATTTAATAATTATATCGTTCCATTTTAAATTGTCACGAAAACCTGCAAAGTTGTCAAAATGATGACAAACCGCGCCCCCTACCACTCATCACGTTTACTAAAAAGAGTCTTTTCATGTAAAATCTGATTACACGAAAAGAGCTCCTTTCAATAGGACCAATTATATGAAAATTGGTTAACCTAAACCGAAGTTACATTCAACTCCTTTTAATAAGATGTTCCTCTTCCCCCACCCCTCATATTTTCTGAGCTAGAGCAATATGTGTTGCATCAAAATTGCGATGCATGTATTTTTATACATGTTTGTTGGGTATATTTTAGGAAGCAGCAAACCTAGAAGCTTGAAAATAATTTCCAGCTTTACTTTTATTAATAGGATACCGAAAATATTATGCTATCGTATGGTGCCATGGTGCGAGTACAAATTACACCATTTATTTTGGTCATGCACTTTTTTTTATAAAGTCCAAATGGATGTCGAAATAGAAACTTTAAAATGTCAAAAGTCAAAAAGAAAAACATACGACATGGCACAGGGTTTCTCACTATATTTTGACTCCCGCTTATTTTCATTAATTTTGGGAACGCCACCCACAAAACACCTGTCCAGATAACTCACAACAAAGTCACTCAAAAACCAAATTTGGATGAAACTTTTAAAATCCTAGGTCGGCCCATTCTAATACGAAACTGATACTAAACTGTTAATTTAGACACAGCACAAATGTATTCAATAATTGCTGTAATGAAATGAGGCGACAGTGCCAGCGAAAAAAAAACCACGCATGCAAGCTGTCGATTAAAACACGTTAAAAAAAGTCTCAATTACCTTGATACTGTCAATAAAATTTATAAATTTGCAAAAATGCACTAAAAACATGAGATAAACTTTTCAGTATAAAACAAATAATTTCCCTTATCTTACAACATGTAAATTCTCAACAATTAAGTAAACAAATTAAAATGGAGCTATTTTAACAATCACCAGACATCTTCCACACTACATAAACTTTACACAACATTTTCCTCCCTTACATTGAACACAAAATAAACGAACACATATAACTGACGACATCACAATTTACCAACAATCCATCAGTGGCACCTGGACCCTCGCTGCACCCATCGAGCTTCTAACATTATCCCGTATTTTTTTATAACCTACTTCCCCCCTGTCTAACTTAACCAAAGGCCTCTATGGAAAAATGCTCAGTTACTCTTTGCGCATGCAATCGCTCATATCTACCACGTAGAGCTCTTCTCCCTCTATTACTTTTCTTAATAAATCATCTTCTAATTTACACCCATAATTTTAGCTTCGTTACATCGTGGAAATTCCGCTCTTAGGAATGCTGAGATAAAACAATTACTTGAACTACTTGATACTTTTGAACGTTCACTTCTTCTTGCTGTCTATAAATTTCTGCCTTTTGCTTCTGCTAAATTTCGCGTTCCCCTAATGCTCCACGTTGGGCGCCAAACAAATAATGCTGCGTGCAATGGTATGCGGTCACTACACCACCCACAAAACACCTGTCCAACTAGCGCAAACAAATCAAAATTGAATCCTAGAATTGTAGTTATTTTCCTCGTAGACAGTCGGCTTCTTTCACAAATTTTCAATGTTGACTTCAAATTAATAATTTGGAAGACTGATCGGTAGCCTCGATCAACTTCCGAAAATTCCAAAGAATTAAGTACACAAATTTTCATTAACACCTGACAATCCTTGGGCAGAAAAAAATCTGACATGAAGATTATATCTGGGTCAGACAAAGGATTCGAATAAACAGCCAATTCATTAACCATGACAAAAACTTATTCTGAACCAATAACAAAAATCCCTGAAAAAACGAAAAGGTTTACAAATTTGGACATATTACCCCGCATGCAGGCGGTCGACAATTAAAATAAGGAAACGACTTCGTTTTTTCTTAATACTCGAAAAAATCTGGTCGTACAAGGTTTGCAGTACTAGGCGCACCAAAACTGACAAAATACTCGCCGACAGCTTCAGCAAACGGCACATGTTTTTGGTAAACACTTGTAGCGATTCTTTATGGATAGCAAACGGGATTGACCGGCTAGTCAAGGAAGAGTTAGGTCTTCAGTGAAACAATCCTGAGCGAATGCACACCCGTACCGGGTGGGTGCCAGACGGGCACAAAATCCCGCAAAATGAAACTAAAAATAAAACAAAAATGAATGACCATACGTGTTTGTAAAGCTCTGGCACTAGGGGGGGGTCTGACTTCTTGTCTGAATGATCATCGATAGTTACCATATATAATCATTTAATTTCAATAACAAACTCGAGAACAAACTTATTAAAATAACCATTAATATCAATAGTATAACCACTAAAGTACAGAGCAATAATCATAACAGTATCGTAATTAGCTTTGGAACATAATCGATAAATGCAATAAAAAATCTTTAACAAGAAATAAATTTAGACAATAGGGCCACCAGCGGGAAAACCCGCTTCATTAAATACATTCAACAATACAATAAGGGCATAAAGATACACAAAGAATATGCGCATGACCAACGCATATACGGTCATTAACGCCCAAGGCCCATGTTACATAAAGAATAGCAATACGGTCATTAGAATAAAATCGAAGTTGTATAACGTTTATTATTAAAATTTTTCTGTGGCTATCGATTTCGGCAAAAATGCCATCATCAGACCTAGCTATAAATGTGTTATAAAAGATAAACTTCCCGTCCCGTCAAAGGTTTAAAAGGCAGCGTATTTATATATTAGCAGCATGAAGTGCGTGTTACTGATGGAAGTGGAAATGAATCTATTGAAAATAAACATTAGTAAAATTGAACATCACATACAACCAATAATATATTAATTAAATTTAACAAAAACTTACATAAATGAGATACAAGTAGCAACGATGTGTATAAAGTGATAATATGAGTAATAGATTAAGTGTTAACGATAACGTTTCGGTGCAGATAAGAAATCCGGGAAAGGAACCCAGTAAGTGAGGGCATAAAGCCTTAAATTTGTTAATATTGTAATTGTAATTGTTTCCATGTTCGAATAAGTAATTTTTCCCCATATTATCAACCAAATGTTACCAATTAATATGTAATTTTCAACTACTTTTATATGTTCCTTCAAACTGAAGCTTGATAATGACCTCAGGGTCGAAACTATAGTCGCTGTGCTGTCACATAATGTCTGAATTTTAAAATCTAAATAATTAAATGAAGTATGGGGAAGGTTTAGTGCTTTTATAATTTCCACTTAGTCAATTTCACCCCGTTTTGAGTCGTTATAAGATGGATAGCTACCAATTATCTCTTAGCAACGATAAACCACGTCCGTTAATTAATTTTCGCCTGATAAAACTCCTTATACTAACGACCAGAATAAATTACAAAAGCGATCAAATTAAAACGAAAACTATACGCAATTACAAAATGTCTAAAAAGGAAATAAACACTGAAATACAAATTCAAATAAAACGAACTAGCTCTGTGGTTATTTCGTACATAATAAGTAAAGAATAATGGTATCACAAAAATGTGTAAATATCGTACGTACGTCTAGGCACCCATAAAAATAGTAACACCGGCGCCATTCAAATAGTCACGATTAGGAAAAGTGGGCCATGTTTGTGTACACCTACTTGCATACCATTCAATTTACTCTTTACCAATGCAAACACAAATTTTATGTCTCATGAAAATGGACCCGTACACAGATGCAACTGGAAGGTTTTTGACTTCGCATTTTTTGAATAATACCATAACCGCACATAAGTACAGCGAATAGCCGATATATCGATAGTACCCAAATATTATTTATAAAAGAAAAGCGTATATTCCACTTAAAATTGAAAATGCAAATTTAATTAAAGGAAATAACTAAATTGTGATCAAATGTGACTTTGTTGAAATCCAATGCATATTATGCCATGGAAAGGATATAATGCAATCGACACTTAACTTCCCATAATGATACACATTTATAGTCCAATAATCTTTTAAGGGACCCACCTAATTAAAATGGTAACGGAAGAGAGATCGGTCGTTACCATTTC